GTGTGTATCGAGAGTGTGAATGGAGTGTGGCTTCTATATTGTATGTCTTTGAATGAGGGTACGAGGATGAGGGTGGGATTGTATGATTGTGCCTGTGTATGCGTACCAGTGGCGGATGCTGGTCTTTCTTTCGGCCTACATAATAAAATGTGTGGGTTATAAATTCTACCTTCCGTTCCTTTTCAAGAAAATGATCTGTGACCCTGTCACAGATCATTTTGTTTAGTTTAGTATTTATTCATTTCATTTAAAAAAAAACAAAACATTACATACAACAAAACAATAGAAATAAAATAAAATGAAAGGCAGCAGAAGAAGAAAAAGATCTTGATATCTGCTCCTATTTACAAAAAAATATTAATTTCAAACAGTAAACCAAATTAAACAAAACAAAAAATTCAACTCCTCAAACAGTGACTCATACAAATTAAATAATTTCCTATTTCTTTAACAATTTTGCTGTGATGATTTTTTTAAAGGAATTAATTGATCCAATGCTTTTATAATCATTTACAGATTATTCTATAGTATTTTACAGCAGCCAGCTCTGTTATACCAGGACAAATTAAACTATTTTATATTTCTTTAACAATTTTGCTTTGATGATTTTTTAAAGGAATTAATTGATCCAATGCTTTTATAATCATTTACAGATTATTCTATAGTCTTTTACAGCAGCCAGCTCTGTTATACCAGGACAGATTAAAAGACCTGTTATTTCCCCACTGTGGGATCAATAAAGTTTTTTTTATCTTACCTTTCCCCACCTTTTGCACCAAATTAATCTGAGGAGTTGATCAGCCCTGCTGTTTAACTGTAAGTTTTTCTTTGTAGACAAGACCATAATGGCTTCACCAAAATCTGGTCCACAACATTCAAACTGTCTGACATTATGTGCAGCTTGTTACTGTGAGGCTAGAGTGAAGTGTGTCCGTCTGTGAGTGCTTTATGATGGTGAAGTGGCTTAGCAGCACCTGTCGGACAGAAGAAGTCAGAAAGACTGATAGAAGTCCGTCTCCAAACACAAGCAGCTACAAAACAACCACAGAAATAAAAACTTGATTTGTCACTAGTCGTTTTTAACAAAGAAAATGCAGCTAAAAGGATTAATAAAGTCTCAGATTCAACTCAGAACGGAAACGAAACTAAAAACTGCTCCCATGCACGTTTACACCAAAAAGATCTCTGATTCGCTCATTTCGCTGTCAATCAAAAAGGGATTCAGGCTCAGACAGATCATCCAATCATCATGCAGAATCTGGGCGTCCGAACCCGCCCACTGCTCCATAGACCCCCAGAGACGCTGAGCGTCCGGGGGCGGGACAAAGCCAGCATTTATCGGACAAAGCC